TTAGGCATCGCAAATATTGAATGAGCAAATTACGTTGACCTAAGGTCAGGTATGATGGTCAGACCAAGGTCAAAACCAACCTGATTTAGTACTCTAAGGGTTGCTGTATGGGACAATTCCTGGTGCTTATTTCGAATTTGTTAATAGCAGGAACCGCATTATACATCTTAAATTGACTTCTTAGAGGTCAGAACAGGCCACTGACCTAAGACGACCCGGGTCGAACCATTTGTTTTAGGAACATACTGCCTAGCGTAATCTTCGTCGCTTATTCAAATGAAAACGCAGGGCAGTCTTGTGCCACTCTGGTCACTGTGACCTTCAAAGGGTGAAACAAGGTCAATGACCTCAAATGGGCTTGTGACCTTTTGCTTAGAGACAGTTGCCTAGGTTCTGGGGGTGCTTTGGAGACCAACCTGGAATTTGACCTTGTATGACCTTATTCGACCTGAAGGTCATGACCTAGGAAGCTGAAACCTTATCCTCAGTGAGTTCACCTATAGGTCAAGACACCCTGTAAATTTGGTATCTCTAGCTTTCTTATTTCCCTAGATCTCAGAGGGGGTTCAAATTGACCCCCCCCCCCCACACCCCAGCGAAGGGCATCTAGCCGGCCAACCGGGCATGGGTTAAAGCATAGTAATTTCACGACAGTACTATTAGCATAACAAATTACTCACACCAACAACTTGATGCTGCACTTTTCAATTCCCTTCCACAGCATTTTTAAAGCAAAACAAAGCAAAGGAATTCAATAGCAATATAACAACAGAAAATTCAACAAGCATACAACACTCAAACAAAAAAAAAACATTGGACTCCTACACATCTGCCCATCACCAAGTCAAACACAATGGAAATACTTCTGGCTTCTGTTAAGGTGGGGTCCGGGAAAACAAACATTTTGACACTGTTTCTTACAAAATACCAGGGCTTATTTCCATGAAAGTAGCCTATGCCTAACCTAAAGAGGCCTTACATCATCTCATCCTGCATAACCTGTTTGTATCACGGCACCAGTTGTGTTACTGATTCTTGCACAATTCCTATTGCCACTTGCCATGCACTTGACCAACTTAACCTAACTTAGAGTAGCCCATATGATGAACATCATCTCAACTCACCTATCTGTTGACTGCAGCACTAGTGATGAGAACATGATATTTAAATCTAGTATTTGGCTGGTTTCAACTTGCAGTTTTATTCAGTTCATTTGTGCATGCTTGTTGACATCAGACAAAGTTGACCACACACAAATCAAAACACTTTAAATCACTTTGAACAACTTATTTTGATGGTCATGGCTACCTTATGTCAGGGGCGATAATGGGTACGTTCCACAAAACAATGTCTCATCTCCAAAAATAACATGACTTTTAGATGACCATGCCAGTATTGCTGCTTGCCTTTTCAGCTGCAGCAAATGCATCCATTTGGGCTTGTTTATTCATATTTAATGACAAAGTCTGAGATGTTGGCTTCATCTTTGAAATGGGGTGGTCTGACTATTTGGTACATAGCAATATTTAACTCATATTATAATTGCTATGCAGCTTCCTGTGTATTGTGTGTATATTTAACTCATATTATAATTGCTATGCAGCTTCCCTGTGAGCATCCCTGTGTTAAAAATATACTGCATATATACAGTACAGTCATTTGCCAGTCAGTAAACCATAACAACTATAAAAAACATCTGGTTAAAGCAGCCATGAGAGACCACTTCAAGAAATTTGGGGCAAATAACCAAGAATGTGAAACAAAATAAGCCCATTGCATGCCTTAGGGCATCATAATCTGTCTTATGGAAAAACTCGATGCATTAAAACAGAAAATGGCTAACTCTGGTTACCAATCATGTGTTGAATGCAGGTAAGGTAAGCCATTACTTGGTCCGCAGGAGACTTATCGGCTTCTTCCTGCTCCCCCAAAACAAAAATTCAGTACCTTCTGCATGGTCTGCTGGCAGACAGAGTCATCCGAGTCACCCCCCCAAATATAAATATCAATCATGCCCACAAACCTTCGAGATTACAGTGCGAAACAAGTAAGAGGTGCGCATTATAAACATCTCCACAGGGCAGAATTTTGCCATCGAACACTTCTGTATTAGCTGCGTCAGGTCTGTCCCAAGGCTCTGTATGGCAGCATATCCTAACGCTGCCATATAGAGGCAGCACTTGGCAAGGCTACTTCAAGCCTTGCCAGGCAGCCTTTTAAGTCAGTCACTCGAAAAGCTTGGATTTATCCTTATTGAGCACCACCATGAACCAAAAAAAACAGTTAACCGAAGTTTTAAGACGGCAAAAATAGCGGTAAAAATAAGTTCCGTGATTCAAATTGTCTCCTTCACTCCCTGTGAATTGTTCACCCTTGGGTGCATATCAAACATATTTGGACGGCTGGCGAATTTATCCAATTTGTGTATGAAATACGTACAAGCTAGCAGTTGGAACATCTTGCAGAGAAATTGGTCAGCATATTAAGCAGCAGATGGTACCTCTAAAGGCAATCAAAAAGGAAGGAAGAACAAAGTGGTAACACACTGGTATGATATCAATACAAAACAAAAGTAGCTAAATAAATATAAAGACTGATACTTTTCCCGCAAAATTTTGTAATCAGCTGATTTGACTTAAAATCTGTTAATTGTATTGCTCAAATGGTGATTTTCATCTTGTAAGCATAATTCAAAAGACATTTCTTGAACTTTTCACTCATTCATTTCGGAGTGATGCATTTAGTGGTCAAGTTTCCTCGGGAAAAAAGAAGCACGTGGAGTAAAATTCTCTACCAGGCCTTGCTGGCGTTTGCACCAGGCTCTGCTCCGTGATGTGGCGGTGAGACGAAAAAATAAGGGACGCGTGAAAACCTTGTATTTGGCGCAAAGCTGCAGATTGTTATGCATTTTGTAAACAAACCAAACTTAATGCATGCAACCGGCTGGGGTCGCTGGGGGTCTTGGGGTTGGAGGTACCTGGCCCTCTTGCTCTGTGCATACATAGATATGATTAAGATGTAGGTGAGGCAGGACATAGCCATAGGTGTCCAGGTTCTGCGGAGCCCCGTTTATGCTTGGTGGTTTCAAGTGAGCTCGGCTTTGGATGACATCTGAAAACCTCAGAAAGGGAAATTGGGGTTTGGCATGTGCGATTAGACAATGTCAGGCAGGAGTGAAAAATTGACATAAAATATAGGAAAAGGAGTGAAAAATTCCTCCTCATAGGGTGTTCTTTTACACGGAACCAATTCCTTGCGAGGAGAACAAAGCATGAAGTAAGGATGGGTGCGTGGTGGATTTCGCTATCGGTAGGTATAGGGCGCTTGACAACCGTCTGCGCCACAGACGGCGTCCACAACAGCACCAAGCGCAGCCAGGCACGGCCCTGTGCTGTGGATGCTGCTGGGGTTGTGGCTGACGGCTCGCTGTGTGGATAGGGCTGTGGATTCTCTAGGGTCGCGACTGACTGATGATTGACGGTGATGCGAACGAACGGAATACGCGTGGCGGGATGGTATTCTATGGATATGCTCGCATTGAGCAAACTAACAGCTGGTTTATTCCGGCCAGATTGTTGGATCTATTAGAAATCCTTGACCGCCTTACCTGTCTTAATATGTGTTTGTCGTTCTAATCTGGGGGCAGCGGCAGTGGTGCAGCACGAGTAATGTACCGTGCCCTTCGAGCTCGTTCCGCGCGGTCAACAGCGGGTATGCTGGGCTCGTAATCCAAAGACACTGGGTACGAGTCCTGAGACGAACAAACTGTCTTGCTCAAACTGCGTGGTAACGTGAGCTGGTAACCGGCCAATGAGGGTCAACCTGGCCCCGGGCCGTCGTGCCGGTACATTGTATGACACGTGAAGCCTTCCATGGTCATGCTTCAGTCAGTCAGTCAGTCATGACAAGAAGGCCGTAGGCAGACATATCCGATGGGCTGGATAGGACCATTTTGGATGGTGGGTTCAGAGCATATGTAACAAACCCCGTTAAGTAGATGCACAGTACATAAAACCATCCATTCAGAGTAGTACACATGCTGTTTTGTTTGTTTGCTTTTTGTGTTGTTTTTTTTTTGCCTGGCACGTGCGGAGCAACGGAGGATTTTGAGGAGACGAAAAAGCTGTGGAAACGCCCGAGAAAAGTGGGGAAAAAGATGTGCGCTGATTAAAAAAGAACGATTCATCATAGCAATCGGGTCACCAATTCTACCCCACTACAGTGAGAAAAGAGCATTTTGTTTCCGCGACACACATTCCTGCATTACATTCAGCATCACGTATGTCGGGAACAGGGGATGGCTGGTGAGGCTTAACACGAAGGAGCGTAAGGTGAACTGACATACACGGACCCAGTCCGGGGAAGCGACTTCACACGAGCATACATACGGGCACGTGCAAAACAAATCAAATTTGTTGTCGGATTTCCACCATTTCATTATTTTTTGCGAACAGCCGGTAGCCTTTGTTAAATATTCATCGTTCGTTTTACGCTTACAAATGAAAGCCAACGGGAAGCTAGGGCACAAAGACACTGAGGGCATGCCATCGGAAATGTTGCCGCCCCTCCAGGCACCTTCGGGAGCGGGTCGTATGGACGGAGAGCGAGGGACATGCACTCCGTCTGTCACAAAAGAGCTGCTCTTGCGCAGCGAGTGAGAGCTGCTGTTGCAGCCAACGATCAGGCTGAAACGAGTGATTTGCATTCCACACGCCCGACTTGCCTGGAGCGGTCCGTGCACGCGATGAGCCCGTTGCAACGCACGCTGCAATGTACTTACACACCTCAAAAACGCGTCAGGCTGCGCCAAGGCCGGCATGTTGTCGTCCAGTAAAAAGGGAGCATAACAGCATGGACCACCTCCCTACCCGCGGTTGGCTGTCGGAGAGATCCTCGGTAGCGACGCAGGACGCGGAAACAACACACATCAGCGAACTTCGAGGCAGCCGGCGATGGTAAACAGACAAGAAGCCGCGGTTGAGTAAACACGCTATAATTACCTTCATGCACGGACGGCGGCGCTCCTTCCAGCAGGGTGCTCTGGCGAGGGTGAAGCCTACAAGAACGCGTCACTAGCCAGCGCGCACCGGCCGCAGAGATGGCCGACTTTCAGACCGGTATCGCCGTTCGTCTCCACCCACGCTTCCTTTCTGAGTGATATCAAGCCCTTGAACACAGCCGCCGCCACCGCCGGCGCGCGCGAGCGCGCGGGTGCGCAGACCTGCTGCCGGCCCCACCGCCACGTATCCAGGTACTCACTACACAGGGGCCGCACCGGCCGACGCGGCTCGCTCTGGCGGCCGCAGCTGCCGCCATCTGGTGGCGCTGCTGGCGCCAGGCAACCAGCCGGACGCTACGCCGCCATCCGGCCGGTCACGTGGTCCGGACGCCGCCGCCCGGACGGCGTCACGTGGTGGCTGCGCTCGCGGCCGGCCAGGCGGGCGGGCGGGACGCTGCCTGCCGCCGTCGAAGTCGGTGTCCCGGCACGGCCCGGCGACCGGCTGTCGTCACCGTCGGTTCCGGCCGTCGGGCGCGTCGCACGGGCCAGCGGCGGCGCGCGTCTGATGCTGCCTGTCTCCGCGCTGGCGGGACGCGAACGGCGCCTAATCGGCCTCGCCATTACTCCGGAATCCGGAGAGCGCCTCCTCCGTCAACACGAAGCGACGAGACAGGCAGGTACGGTGTGTCGGCGCCAAGACAAACACGCGACAAGTGCGGCCCGGCGGGCGAGTCGCAGAGACGGCTGGGCCCGGCCCACGAGACGCCGCACCCCACCGCGGCGACAGAGCGCCGCCCTGCCGTACGTCGTCCCAGCCGGTGGGCCCGCCTCAAAGCGTTACGAATTCGGCGACGACTGCCGCCAACCTTGAAAACGGGAGGTGCTCTCTCTCGGCCCTTCGCGCCAGTAGTTGCCCATACTGCGCGCGCCTGCCAGGTGAGCGGCCGCGAGGGGGAGGGGAGGGGGCTAGTGGTGCTGCGTCACGGCCGGGGCCCCGTTCGGTCGGGCGGCCCGGCCGGCCCGCTCGGCCGGCCGAAGCTACCCCTCTGCGGTCGCGTCACAGCATGTCCGGGGAGGTCGGGTGGCAGCCACCTCAAAGCGGCCCGCTACCAATCCGCTGCAGCGTGCTGCCGGCGCACTCGGACTGCGCAACGCTGAGCAGCGCCACGCCGGATGTGGCGGGGCCGAGGCGCGCGCCGATAACAGCTGACAGCGCGGCGCCGCTCGCACTCAACCACCAGTCCCTGAGGCATCTTCATGCAAACACATTACTGCAACTGACATGTGAGAGATACGAGCGTGATCCTTGGTTGCAGCGTCTTCAGGGGCGGTATGGTGTCAGATGGGAAGTCGTGTGAGAAGGGATGTTAAAATATCACATTCGAGTAAGGCGTGAGAGTGCTATGTTGTAGAGATACAACACATGACATCTCTGCAAGCGAGCTGGTGAAGGATGCAGTTATGCAAACTAGACAGTAAACGGTAGTCTACACAAGCTGCACTAAAGTCGGACCAAAGTTCTTTCGGACTGATATACCTTTTCTAAGCGCACCAACTATTGCACTCTACTGGCATGCGGTCGAGTAATTTTCCACAGGTGCGCATGTTAGATATTCTGCCGAAAACAGTAGCATGTTTGCATCAAGTGCGTTACTCTTCTGTTTATTGGCTATCCTTAAGTGTTCCGAATAATAATCGTCACAACAGAAGGCAAGCATTATTACACCGGCCGCGAACACATGCGAACAAGAGCAAGCGTATGCCCTAGATAAGGATCCATTCCGCTGAGGAGGTGGGATCGGCTGAAAGCAAAAAAGCGCTTAGTGCAGACAAAATTCCTCTTCATATTCGTTATGTTTTCATAGTGAATTGGCAGTTATTGAAGTCCTGCGACTCAATGCACATCGCGTTAGCTATTACAAGGATTTCGTGATGTTTGACTGGTCATTAACTCAGAATACTTCCGTATGTTCCGTTCCGCGTGCGGACCAGCCCGTCGTCAGACGTGCTTTTCAGAGCTCCGCCTGTGGATGTGAATGGTGCGTCCGCCGACAATGTTCTGGACACCTTCTCTTGGTCCTCATTCCACGTCTCGGTGTAGCTACCCAGGCTGAATGCTGACTTATGGCCTGTGAGTTACGCCACGTAGTAAGAGGGTAGCCCAGGCTACAACACGCGCTTGACGGCAGCTTTTCTGGATGTGTGATCTACCTCTCCGTCATCTCCAACGTAAACGAAGTGCACCGCATCTTTCCGTGCCTTCTCATATAACGTTCCCCAAGTGATGCGTTTTGAAACCACCTTCCGCTTTCTCTGAATGTCTTATAGAGACAGACGTCTCAGAGACAGATGTCTAGAGACAGATGTTTTACAGCCGAAAACAATGAGGCTTTGCAGCTTTTGTTGGCAGCTTCTTGAGGCCTCTTTATAGCTTATGGATTGAACCACGAGTGTCTGTATTCTTTTGGGTGGGCCACTGGCCCGCCGATGTCCAATCTGTCCCCCAACGGTGAGTTTTCCCCCAACCTTCTGGAGACAAGTACAAGCAGGACATTATAACTGGTAGGAAGCAAATTATCACAATTTTAGGAAGGGTTCTTCTAATTATTTCACATGTAAAAAGAGCAAAGAACATGTCATTTGAGATGTCATGTTCAGTTAAATGCAGCTGATGGAGCCAATCACACTTTGAAAGCCTTACGTTCATATCCTATTTGCCTGGGTATTTTCTGCTTACTCTGTATGCTGCATGTTTTTAGCTACACGATTAGTATGTCTTGTTGACCCAAGCTTAGTCTTGTGCTATTGTCGGAGTGTTTTGGCATCATTCAGCGATGTTTCAGTTTCTACAGACGGCGGCAAGTCACATAATTATGGCAAGACACATGAGTATGATAAATCCAGTAACCGTGCATGGCACGACGCCTTATAGGAAATTGAAAGCAAACATTGAAAGGGAATTAAGATGACCCCTCGCAATGATTACATTCGTGAATTTTTTTAAGAAAGCTGTATTTTGGGGGAATTTTTCGTCACCGACCTTACTCACAGAGTCAAAAATTCAAATATTAGGCGGACACCAGATACTGGCCAGCGTTGACAGCGGTATTTTCCCTTGGCATGCACGCGATTAGATTGCACACCTCTCTTACACTTTGTCGGAAAAAATTACAATAAATCAAGGTCGATAATGCACTAGCTTTGGACAGATGAAGGTTATGTATTCTCCAGGATGCGATATTTCTATTAAGAAGGCGTTTCAGCTTGTGATAAGAGTGGTTTGATTTAGTTTGTCAGTGGATTGATGACTGATATCAAGGGATTGGTGATTGTGTTTTTGCAGTTTTTTAAAATTGCATTGTGTTTTTATCACGTTCAAGCTCATAGCTTTGGTGTGCAAAAAGAAAATGATCGCCAATTGAAGCATCAGAATATCTTTTTTCGTCTAGGACGTGCTTTAAACTGCGCCGCGGTCCATGGAGACTGCAACGCCTGACGAGGCTGTTGTTGCTATGACTTGCGATCGCGCATGTTCAAAACCATATTACATGGTTTTTATGGGTAATCAATTCTGACTGAATCTTGAAAATTTTTAGACGAACATGAAAAACTGGAGTCTATGTGACAAGTTTGGACCACCTGCAACGATCAAGAATGTTGTTACGTCAATGAGGGTTCCTGTGCTGATCTTGGGCCAATTGCGCGGGCCAGAAGACCTCCCGTGTCAGGGAGAACTACGTGATCTAATGTGTCCTTCTAAAGGCCCCGGATCGACCAGGAAATCCCTCCCAGTGTTACCAGAATGACAGCCAGGAGACACTTCGCTGTGGAACGGAATGGCCCTTCAGCCCTTGACCGGAAACGAAGATGTACCCCGGTGTTCTAATCAATGAGCCCCTTGCCCGGAAGGAGACAAGGGGTCCCAATATTGTTAAATAGATTGGGGGATCTCATTATTGTTGAATAGAGGGTGTCAAAATCAGTAAAAGAAAAACCAACAGAGCCATCCCACATTTGCCTGAGAATGTTCTTTTTTTAGAATGGATTAGTGAAAAATATTGTGTCAAAAGGTTTGAACATGCCCGTCCGCAACCTCCGAAGCAAGGACAGCGATGGCCTGGGTTGCAGCTTCCGTAAAACTGAGCGATGACGGCCACTGGAAATGCTACCAGACGGTGGGTGCCGTTTTTTAAGTGAAAACACAGAAAATTCTACCTTTACTCTTCCAGACACGCCACCAGATTCCAGCACCACCTCGCGGTACTTCAATGGCCAATCCGTTCTTGTCATCAGTCTAAAAATCGCAGGCGTGAAATATGCGCCCAAATTGCCTTGTAAATGTAAAATTTTGATGTCCTGAAGCGTTCAAAAGCACTTCCTTCAGAAGCGTTGTCATTTTCGTCCACCTGTTTGTCACGGCTCAGTGCTAGCTGCTGGACCGACGCTGCGCAGCCCACGGGGACTGCAACGCCTGTCGTCGAGTTTATTGGTACCACGATTTGCTAGTGCGCGTGCTCAAAGCTATGCCACATAACTTTATCACTAATCCATTCAAGTGTTTAAAAGTTATTAGTTCAGAAGCGTCATCATTTTTGTTCTCTGGTGGACCACGGGTAAAAGTTGGCCACTGGGCTGACCCCTCGCGGACTGTGCAGTTTGCAACGCCTGGTATCGAGGTTTTCACCGCCGAGATTTGCGAGCGCAGATGTTAAAAAACCACGCTACATAAATTGTAACACTGATCGGTTCTGACTGAATGTACTATGTAATGTATACATTTCCAGACCACCATGATTCGGCTATGTTAATACACGTTGTTGACCACTCGATCTATAGTCAAAATTTCATCTTCAAATTTCGATCAAACATATTGATCTCCAATCTACCTTCGCGATGTCTTTAATACCTGTAGAACCCAGATGAAAAATTCTTACAAAACTTCTGAATTTTATCGCTTTAGAAAGAGTCCACCAAACCGTTATACATAAACAAAATTGACCTCACGGTAGCTTCTGGTTTCTGCTATGGTAACAAGGTAAACATAGCAATAAAACGAAGAAAACCGTGTTCCTTGTTAACAAGTTACCTATTTCCAGGGATCTCTTTTTTTGAGGGGGGGTGCTATAAGAGGGGTCAACCCTGTGCTCCCCCTTAGCAATGTTCTGGCTACTCTCCCACCCACACACAAAAGCAGATCAAGTCGGCTACGTTGAATGATGGGCAATTGAATGTCTGTTGGACCAATTCA